GTCGAGACTTCAGACTGTTTGAGAACCTTCCGCAGTATAACTATCATAGAAATTGAACTTGTTAATTACAATCCGGCTTAACTGCAGACTAGGGGGAACCATATCCGGGTGACCTCTCTTAACCTGAATACAACCGTTTAGTTGTTTTGTTTGCTTGTTAGTTTAGAACTTCACTAAAGTTTCATTGCTAGATAATACGAATTCACTGAGTAGTCATCACATCTAGGACCCGGGTTGACAATAAAACCCAAACCCGCTATACTACGCTTTAGGAAGTGGTTACACTTGGCCATTTTCTAGAGTGACAGTAGGAGTGAGTCAAACTACCAGCTGAAAACTAGCTCAAGCTGGTTTAACAACGGTCACTGACCACTTTGACCAAATTCAAAGACTAAGTACTAAACTGGAAAAACACCAAACGACACAGTTTTATTTGGACTCAGACCAAATGAACTTAAACTCAAAATACTGGCGCCAAACTCCTTCAACGATCTCAGCCTTCTTCACAAAGCCTCCCCTGATCTGGAAGAGGTCTTCTTGTCCAACAAAAGCCTCCCTGAACTGGAGCCAAGTTGCTTGGCTTCAGTTCACTCTCCAGCTTCAAACTCGGCATGATCCACCACTCCAAGCTTGGCCCTCATCAGCTGAAAGGTCTCAAGTTTCAGGGCCTTAGTCTTCACATCTGCAATTTGTTCATAGGTCCTGCAATGCTCCATTGTCACCACTCCATTGTTGGCCAGCTCTCTTAAGAAGTGGAAACAAACATCTATGTGCTTGCTTCTGCCGTGTAAAACTAGATTTCTGGATAACTTTGTGGCTGAGCTATTGTCACAGAAAATCCTTGTTGCTGTATCCACACTACTCTTCCATCCAAATTGCTCTAGTATTCTCCTCAACCAGACACACTGGGCAGCACTGAAAGAAGCTGCCACGAACTCTGCCTCAGTGGTTGAAAGAGTGACCACAGGCTGTTTCTTGGATGCCCATGAAACCACCCCTCCTGCAAGAAAGAAAGCATAACCACTTGTGCTTTTCCTATCGTCCACATCACCTGTATAATCGCTGTCAGTGTAGCCAATCAACTCTCCTCCTTCTACTCCCCTTCTGTACCAAATGCCATGCTCCATACTCCCTTTCACATACCTCAAAATTCGCTTAGCAGCCAACATGTGTTGCCTGGTGGGGGATTCCATAAATCTGCTAAGCAGACACACAGAATACATCAGATCAGGTCTGGTGGCAGTTATATAAAGGAGACTGCCAATTAGTTTCTTGTACTCAGTGGCATCTGTGGGCACTCCATCTCCTGCTTTAGACAGCTTGATCCTAGACCCGATCGGATTATTGATATGATTGCAGCTTGACAGGTTAAATCTCTCCAGCAACTCTTTTGCATATTTCTGTTGGCAAATGAAAATCCCTGCATCTCCTTGGATTACTTCGACGCCAAGGAAATACCTCATCCTTCCCAAGTCTGTCATTTCAAATTCAGTTTGCATAGAACTCTTGAACTCCTGAATGAGCTGAGGATTGCTGCTGGTGCACATCAAGTCATCCACATAGATGTTCACTATTAGAATATCAGCTCCAACCTTCTTTATGAACAATGTGTGTTCATATGAGCTTCTCTGAAACCCATTCTGCAGAAAATAAGTCTCTATTCTACTGTACCAAGCTCGAGGGGCTTGTTTCAAGCCATACAGAGCTTTCCTCAACCTGTACACTTTTGATTCCTCCCCAGCAAGCACAAACCCTTGTGGTTGCTCTACATAAACCTCCTCAGACAGTTCACCATATAGGAAAGCAGACTTAACATCTAACTGATGAACTTCAAACCCATGGAATGCAGCATAGGCCAGAAGAGCTCTAATAGTATCCCATCTAGCAACAGGAGCAAATACCTCAGTGTAGTCGATTCCATGTCTCTGAGAGTATCCCTTTGCTACCAGCCTGACCTTGCGTTTGTCTAAAGAGCCATCTTCCTTTTGTTTTGACTTGTACACCCACTTTAGGCCAATACCATCCTGCCTGCTCATCAAACACCACATCTCGGCTGACCACCACTTTCTTGGTGGCTGGGTTGTATAACTTGTAGGCCTTAGACTCCACAGAAATGCCAAGAAAATAGCATTTAGTGCTCTTGCTATCTAGTTTCTTTCGCTGCTGATCTGGAACATGTACATAAGAGACGCATCCAAAGACCTTAAAATGAGAGACTGAGGGGGGTTTCCCAGTCCATAGCTCCTGTGGTGTCTTACCCTGATTTGCTGTGGTTGGACTCCTGTTTGTGACATGAGTTGTCCAAGCAACAGCCTCAGGCCAAAAGAGAGCAGGAACCTTGTTCTCTTCTAAAACACACCTGACTATATTCATTATGGTGCGATTCTTTCTTTCTGCCACCCCATTCTGCTGTGGGGTAAGAGCTGCAGTCAATTGTCTTCTTATTCTTTCTTCTTCACAGAGCTCTTTAAACTCATTCAACAAGAACTCCCCACCTCTGTCAGTTCTCAAGCACACAATGGGAAGACCTGTCTCTTTTTCAACCTGTGTTTTGAACTTCTTGAACAGTCCTAGTGTTTCAGACTTTGCATTCATAAAGAAAGTCCAAAGTTTCCTACTGAAATCATCCGTTATAGTTAGGATGTACCTCTTTCCTCCATTAGAAACTGGAGTTATGGGTCCACACAAGTCATCATGGATCAATTGAAGCGTTTGTGATGCCCTCCAGGTGTTCTTCTTTGGAAATGACAACCTGTGTTGTTTGCCTACCAGACAGGTTTGACAAACTCCACTCTCCCCTTTCAGTTCTGGCAAGTCAGCTACCAGATCTTTCTTCTTCAAGAGCAGCAGGTTTTGATAGCTCAGGTGGCCAAACCTCCTGTGCCAGAGGGAATTCTCTTTGTTGCTGTCTGTTTGTAAGCACTGATGACCCTGACCTTCTGTCCAGTCAGCTTGGAGAGCAAATATTCGGTTAGACTTCATCTGGGTTTGCAACAGCAAACCCTTGCCCTCATGAAACAATTTGCAGTATCCTTCTTTGATTAGAAAAGAGATCCCCTTTTCTTGTAGTTGTCCAACACTCAGCAAGCTTGTCTTCAACCCTGGCACATAGAAGACTTCCTGGATCATCAGAGAGACCTGATTGATCATCAACTTCACAGACCCTTTTCCAACAGCTTCCAGCCTCGAATCATTGCCAAGCCTCACATTGCACCTAAAGGTAGTGTCAATGGAAGTAAACCAGCTCTTGTTCCCAGTCATGTGGTTGCTGCAGCCTGAATCAAGGAACCACCAGGTTCTTCCATCTGCTGCCTTTTCTTTGCCATCATGGGTGTCTTCAACAGCTCCCATCAGACTTGCTACCTCCTGCCTTGATTCAGTCCCTTCTTGATAAGTGCAGGCCATTAACAAAACATCTTCTTTCATGTCTCCATGTGATCTGTCCTGTGAGGTCTGATAGCTGGAGTAGTGAGCTTGCTGGTTCGAATACCATTCTGGGCATTCAGCTTTGTAGTGTCCAAGTTTATGACACTTGAAGCACTCCACAGCTTCTCTGTTCCAACTTCTTCCTCCCCTGCCTCTTCCACGTCCAGGAGACCCTGCAAAACCACCTCTTCCAAAGCCTCTAGCTCCCCTGCCTCCAAACTCATGAGTGGTTTGAAGGGCTTGATCATCCTCAGCTGCACCTCGCCTATGAAACTTTTGCTCATGAACAACCAAGGAACTTTGCAAAGCATCGACTGTTAGCATCTCAATATCCTTGGACTCCTCGATTGAACATACCACGTAATTAAACTTTTCAGTCAATGTTCTTAAAATCTTCTCCACAATCTGCACATCAGTCAGATTCTCTCCACAGCTTCTCATTGAGTTGGTAACAACCATGACTCGGCCAAAATATTCTGTAATGGTTTCTCCCTCTTTCATCTCTAACAGTTCATAACTTCTCCTAAGTGCCTGAAGCTGAGCCTTTTGGACTCGAGCACTACCCTGAAACTTCAACTTCATTGAATCCCAGAGTTCTTTTGTTGTGTTCTTCTTAGTAATTGTTTTAAGAATTACCTTATCAATCGAACTGAAGAGGTAGTTCTTGGCCTTCAGATCCCTAAGCTTCAAATCATCCAGGGACTTCTGCTCTACCTCCGAGAGCCTTTCACCTCCAGCTGGTTCCTTATATCCTTCGCTTACAACATGCCAGTACTCCTTCGATCGAAGGAGGTTCTCCATCAGCAAACTCAGTGTTCAAAGTCACCATCAAACTTTGGAACGCACACCTGTGCAAAGCTGCTGTTTTCACTCATTTTCAGATCTCACCAAACACACTCTTGGCACAATTAGCAGTGCTCAACTCTCCCCAGATCAATAATGCCTCGCAATAAACACTCGTGTTTCCCCCTACAAGCAACCCTCTTTGCTTGTAGTCTGATCGCACTTCACACTCTTTAGGGTTTCTTGGTTACAGCTTGCACTGGCTCTGATACCACAATGAAAGCCAAAAATACTGTAATCTGACATTTTGTTTATTGATAGATGGAGAGTTTATATACACAAGTGACCCAAGGGAATCGGCCTCAACAAACGACCTCAATCCCACTCTCCTGCAGATCTGCAACAAAACTAACTACCAGCTGAAAACTAGCTCAAGCTGGTTTAACAACGGTCACTGGCCACTTTGACCAAATTCAAAGACTAAGTACTAAATTGGAAAAACACCAAACGACACAGTTTTATTTGGACTCAGACCAAATGAACTTAAACTCAAAATACTGGCGCCAAACTCCTTCAACCATCTCAGCCTTCTTCACAAAGCCTCCCCTGATCTAGAAGAGGTCTTCTTGTCCAACACTCCGTTCATCCCTTAATCCGAATCCGAAGCTGAAAGGTTAAATCTGCGATCAACAATATAGTATATAGAGCCTCTCACTTGCCAATTTCCCACTCTGTTTCCTCTTTTCTTAACTCTGCTTTTTACTTGCCCTGCTTTCCTTTCGATTCCGACGATGGCGTGGAGGCGAGGAGATTGTATCGGAAAGGGAGGTTATGGGGAGGTGTTTATCGCCATCCCAAGCAACCCCGCCTTCAAGACGATGGCCGTGAAATCAGTTCCGAAAGAGAATGCCGCCTCTCTCTTGATCGAGTACCAAATTCTGGAGAAGCTTCGCGACGTCCCGGGAGTGGTGCAAACCTTCGGCCTCGAAACCAGAGAATCGGAACCCAGAAGCGGCGGCGGAAGAAGAACGTACAACCTGCTAATGGAACTCTCGCCCAGAGGATCTCTCGTGAATTTGATCGCTGATTACTCCCTGCTATCGGGAATCCCGGAATCCCATGTCAGAGGCTACGCGAGAATGATTCTTCGCGCCCTGTCGTCAATCCATTCGCTTGGATTCATCCACTGCGACATTAAACCCGACAATGTCCTGGTTTTCCCCGCCGGAAACATGGGAGGACAGTCAGAGAGCCTCTTCGAATTGAAGATTGCGGATTTCAGGCTGGCGACGGAGACTTGGAAATTGGGTCCCGGGAGCAGGATATTCACGGGGACGCTGAGGTATATGCCGCCAGAGGCGGCGGTGGAAGGGCAGGTTTCGCCGGCGATGGACGTATGGGGGTTGGGCTGCACTGTGGTGGAGATGCTGACGGGGAATTTGCCGTGGAGCAGATTCAAGGAGGATGGAGAGGTGTTGAGGGAAATTGTGGCAGGCCGGACGCCGGAGATTCCAGAGTGGTTGTCGGCGAAGGGGAAGGATTTCTTGAGCAAGTGTTTTGCCAGGGATCCCAATCACCGGCTGCATGTTGAGATGTTTCTCAAGCATCCCTTCGTGGCGGATTATGGTGTCATCGGCGACCGGAGGACGAAGACGGCGGCGGTGTTCGGTGGAGGAGGAATGGAGATGCAGAGATCGCCGGTTGCTGTGCGTCCTCGTCAGTTGTTTCAGTCAGGAAGAGCTGCTGCTTTGATGTGTTGATTAGGCTTCAAATAGAGCTGAGAAGTTTTGGCCAGTTTAGAAGATAGAGCTGATTAATTAGTTTTAGTTATTAGTAGTAACTAGGCAAAATTGAGCCGCGCTATCGTAGCGGCTTTCAACGGAGTTTTGGTTTGTTGTTTACCATCCCATGAAAACCATTTATTTTTAGGTTTATTTTTAAAATTTTCCTCGTCAGGAAATAATAACATTTTTCCTGAGCAAACAATAAAAATTGTAAAACGCCTCAATTGACAGCTAGTCTTTTCCTCTGTCGCTGGCTCGTTCCATCTCGGACCTTTATTTGTACGGATGACAAGTGAATGACTTCATAAATATAAATAGGATAGTTAGTAAATATTTCATTTAATATATAGATTGACCTACTTATTTTATGCATTTAAATATTTCATTTTCGTATTAATGTCAAATTATTTTATTTTTATCTATATAATGGCTCTCATACTATATACTTATAATTCTATATAACACCTTTAATAACCTATTTAAACGTATCATATTTCACCCAAAACTCTCATACTCAAGGTTGTCAACCCGCGAGTCGATCACTGATTGTCGCATTTTGACCTAACCTGGTGAGAAAAATGGGCCGCACACACGCCGGGTCGACCCGCTGTAAGATTGCCGGGTTGTAGGTCATACAATGTCCTTTTTCCATTTGGTTTGTGAAATGTCCCTATTCTTCGATTTTCCTCTTCTCTTAACCCTATTTTTTGAATTCTAAGTTGAACATTTGAATATTGATGTCATATAAGTGTGTGTTAATTTTCACTATATGTTGGATTCACATACAACATGTTACTTTGGTGTAATTTTATATGTTATTGCTCATATGTTAGATGAGGTTTGATATAATTTATAAATGTATGAACAATATAATGACTTATTCATTTATCCGGACTAAAACGGACAAAAACAATAAGACTATTAACCCTCAACCCACTTACTCAATCAGACTAACATGCTAAATTGGGTAGACAACCTTGCTCATACTACTCGTCCCTTATTTGACCACCTAATAATTGTTATCTCCTTCCTTCTCCTACTAGTCGACCTCCCTCTCAATTACTCCTCATAAACATAATAATTATAAAATGTCCCAAACCTACCTTAAGTTGCCGAATATAGGCGTAACTAATAATTCCCACCATAGTGCCACGCGGCGATGATGTGTCATGCGGGTCAGAAAAAGAAAAATGACAATGGTGCAAAGTAGCAGATCCCTTATGCAACAGTAGTCTCATTGTAACTTTATGACTAGTACTAGTACTAGTATGATGATGGGGGATTAGAGCATCTCCATCCCATTACTTATTGCTATTGCTTATTCAGTGAAATCCTCTGTGGCAATAACTTTAAACAATTGCAAGGATGTAACACTTCTTTCTTATTTAGCAAGATTGCTAAATAAACAATCCCCTTTTGCAATGCCACATAAGCAATTGGGACCCACGCATTCATGCACTCAAATTCTTTCTTTCTTTTCTAATCCACTTTGTGCACATAAAATGTTGAACTTAATAATTCTTGTGCTTATGATTTGTTTAAGTTGTTAATAAATTAAAATTATAAATTATATTTTAATTATATTAAACATGAAAACTTAATACAAAGATGTATAGTTAATGATTGAAGATCCATGCACAAAACTAGAAAGAAATCACACTAAAAATACACACCATTCATATTACATGAAGAAAGCAAACAAATTTATGCAAAATACACACCCACAACAATTATTCAAGGACTTAATGAAAATCATACATAGGATTAGAAAATAAATCAAATTATTACAAACAAGTTTGACTTCAGTTTTTTCCCAAATACTTTTGCATTTGTAGATGATATAACATTTTTTGCTCTTCCGTCATTATTATTGGCATCTCCATCAATTTGATTGCTAACATATCTCTGGCGTGTTTCTTGCTTCCTCTCTCGTTCTTCCCTTTTCCTCTGTCGCTCCTTCTGTAACTTTATCTTTGCCTCCATAGCCATATTGTACTTCTTTAATTCCTCAACCTTTCCCATTTCGAGGTTAAATTGTTGTTGTATTGCTAGCTCGAGACTTTCTACTGACTCAAACGACATAGATTTCCCACCCACCCCACCCCCCCTTTATCCTTTGAAGCTTTCCTTCCTGGTGGACGAGAATGAGAAACAGCTTCTGGGTCTCTAGTGGGTGGCATGCTTGCATTTGAAATGAAGAGGTGTATTCACCAGATGCAGTATTCTTAGTCCTCTTTGATCCTCTATCTTCCTCGAGACCAACTTCTTTATCTTTCTCAATTTGGCTAGACCATTTCTCCTCATCCTTTAACACATCCCAAGAATGCATAAAATTGAAATCATTATCTTCTAATGCACGGTATAATGCCTTTGCGTTGTTCTTTTTGTCTACCTCGTTTATCCCACTTTCCCTTCGGTGTTGAACTTGTGCATAACAACCAACGAACTTTGACACTGAATGGTTTAATCTAGTCCAACGATTCATCAGACTTTGCTTATTCCTTCGGCCTTGGGAGGTCTTATGATAGGTGTCATAGTATTCCCCAATACGATTCCAGAAGTTGTTGTTCTTTTGATTTATGCCAATTTCTCCATCTTTGCTGATGTTGTGCCACGCACTACATAACAAAGTGTCATCTTCAGTAGTCCAACGAACTCTTTCTTTCTTGCTTTCTTCGTGTCGAACTTGTTGGGGCGTTCCTTGACTGCAATATTCTTGGATATTGAGGAGTTTGAAACTCAGTAGGAATGGTTTGAGGAATTGGAGCCTCATTTGGTGACCGTCGAGAGGAAATATTTGATATTGGCATTTGTGAGTAATTTTGTTGGAAATATAGATGGCTGGAATTTGGATACATGGGCATATGAAAATTTCCTTGACTTAAAAAATAAGGAGAATTCATATAGGGGATAGGAAAATGGTTAAGAGGAGATTGTGGCTCTTGACTCTCATTACTTGAAACATTAGATGAACCTTGTGAGAAGGGAAAAAAATGGATTGTAGGATGGACGCGATGGATCCATTTCTTCCCAAATAATGAAAAGTTTGAAAGAAGAGGAGAAGAAAGAAGACGACTAGTAATGCGTAATAGGTTGAGAGCATTACCTATTTGTTCATGACTCCACACTATATATAGATAAATAAAATAAATCTACAAAGAACAATGCTATCACTTCCCTAGCTCACTCACCAAAATAATTGAGTAGTCCATTGGGTTGAGTAGTGAATTGTCACTTCCCTGTCAGCAAAATAATTGATCATTTTTGAACCGTTAATTTGAGTAGTGAATTGTCACTTCCCTGTCAGCAAAATAATTGATAAGTTTTTCACCACTCAATGTCAGTGAATTGTCACTTCATTGTAAGAGCACTATGCAAGTAACTTTGTCAGAAGTAGTGTATAAAGACACCCATTTTATCACTTGAAAATAATAAAAGTAAGAAATAAAAAAGGTGCACTTTTCATCAATAAATTGTATCCATATATTCAGCATTGTAGTTTCATTCTTCTCACCATTCTCAAAAGATAACTCATTCAAAGATGAATTCTTCTTCTTCGTCGTCATCTTCTTCTAGTTCAGAGAATCCATTTGAGGAAATCATAGTCCAGTGGGCAACAGATGATTCATACTCCAAACTTATGCAACAATATGTTCAAATCAAAAGGCAGCAAATAGAAGATGAAGCCTCGTCTTCAAGACGTCCAAGGAGATACATTGAGAGGGGTCGTGAAGATGCACATCAGCGCCTATACCAAGTCTACTTCTCTGAGACTCCCACATACACTGATGATATGTTTCGGCGTAGATTTCGAATGCAAAAACATTTGTTTCTTCGCATAGGCGAAGGTGTGATGAAGTATGCTCCTTACTTCAAGAACAATATTGATGCTGTTGGCAGAACAAGTCTTTCACACCTAGTGAAGTGTATTGCAAGCTTATGGTGTGGCGGCAGACAACGTTGATGAGTATTTACGGATCGGGGAGACGACTACAACAAAATGTGTCAAAAGATTTGTAAAAGCTGTCATTGCTACTTTTGGAGATGAATACTTGAGGAGGCCAAATGCTGAAGATATCGAAAAATTGCTTCATGTAGGTCAGCAACGAGGTTTTCCAGGTATCTTAGGCTTTATTGACTGTATGCACTGGGAATGGAAAAATTGTCCTGTTGCATGGCAAGGTCAATATGCTAGAGGAGATCATAAAACTCCTACTATTATGCTAGAAGCTGTAGCTTCACAAGATCTATGGATATGACATGCGTTTTTTGGTCTTCCAGATACATTGAATGATATCAACGTATTAGATCGATCCCCAGTTTTTCATGAAGTATTAGAAGGGAGAGCACCAGAAGTTAACTATTACGTCAATGGAAAAAGTTACAACTTGGGCTACTACCTCAATGATGGAATCTATCCAAACTGGGCAACCTTTGTTAAGTCAATCCCGCTGCCACAAGGACCGAAACATAAATTATTTGCTAAGAAGCAAGAGTCAGTCGGAGGAGATGTCGAGAGAGCATTTGGGGTGATGCAATCACGATTCGCCATCGATAGTAACCCGACACGGGTACGATGCAAGAAGAAAATCGGGGAAATAATGAAAGCATGTGTAATCATGCATAACATGATTGTAGAAGATGAGTGAGATTCATATATCCGCCATGATGGTGTGAATTTCAATGTATCCATGACTATAGTTTCTCAAACTTGGCTGCCAGAGTATGTAGAGTATCTCCGAAATCATTTGAGAATTCGTCATAGGTCCAAAAACCATCAACTTCAAACAGATTTAGTTGAAGAGATTTGGAATCGATTTGGAGGAGAGGAAGATGACGAGTAGTCTAGTATTTTTTTTATTTCATTTTGAATTTTTGTATTTTGTATTTTGAATTTTTGTATTGCGTTTTGAATTTTTGTATTTTGTTTTTCATTATGTAATTTTTCTTTATTTCTATTTGGTGTATGCTATGTA